TTCAATTGCAACTGTTGCCTACCCAAACCTCTGCTAGCCAACATACTGCGAATACTACACGCGATTTCTTAGATAATAAAACCTACTAGAGAAATAACCTGCATTATTGCTCTGTTTACGCATGATCATGTCTCTATTAATCATGCTCGTAGCAAGTATGCTAGATAAAATGTGTTCAATTGCAACTGTTGCCTACCCAAACTTTTGCTAGCCAACATACTGCGAATACAACACGATTTAATATATGAGTTACGCAAATTAAGAATATGCAAGAATCAAAATGGAGTCTCTAAATGCAATAAATAAGAATCTATTAATTATCAAGTCACTTATCAAGCCAGGATGTCCGTTGGCTCCACAACTCATTGTTTTCCGTCTCATTCTCATTCTCTCTCTCCATACACTTGTGTAGAGTTACGCCCTCACTCTCATCAACACCATTTCAAATGATAACATCTTTACCTTTTTCATTCTCGCTTTAGCTTCTATGATAAGCGTGACGCTGAGGACGCACTAGAGGCCATGGATGGTCGTATGCTGGATGGCAGGGAGCTGCGCGTTCAAATGGCACGCTATGGTCGACCCTCGTCGCCGACGCGCCGCAACAGCAGCAGTAGTCGTCGTGGCGCTGGTCTTGGCGCCGGCGCTGGCGGCGGTGCTGGGGGACGTCGTCGCTCGCGTTCACGTTCCCCGATGCGTCGTCGTTCGCGCAGTCCGCGACGACGCTCGTATTCGCCGCGTTCACGCTCGCGTTCTGCGGGCAGTCGCTCACCCGGTCGTCGCAGCAAATTCTCACGCAGTCCCGTGCGCGGTGACAGTCGCAACGGCATCGGCAGCGGCGGCTTGGCCAGCGGCTCACGCAGTCGCAGTCGTTCCTAAATTTGCCGGCACGCTTCAGACGTTCCATACTTTTACGTACGAAAAAGGTGAGTGGAAATCTATAAATTTCTGTATTAATCATAAATATATAATAGTTTGTGATATCCCATTCGACTTTCAGCCTTAATTGACTCGTGGACAACGGTATATCCAGAAAACCCCGCTCAACAAGGCTGCTGTAACAACATCTCAATGCTGTGTACCAGAACAGCAGGTATACAAAAACAAAACAAAACTGATAAAAGATTTACACAATTATACACAGAATATTTATAGTACACTATTTTAAGTTGAGGAAGCGAACAAACTACTAAACAAATCAACAAAAGAGAGCAAACTAAAAAGAACTATAAGAGTATATAAAACAAAGCATAGTTCAGCCTGGTCAGGGTTTTGGGATTTAGTTTTATATTGTTTTTTAGTTACTTCTGTTTGTTTTTCTTTTGCATATTGTGTTTAATATAATTTGTCTGCTCAAACGGGTCAGCAGCTGGCAATAGTGTTTGCTAGGGTATCTAGGGTATAGCATTTAATAATTTGGGCGCCATTATTGATGACTTGTGTAGCACACACTACAAAAAATAAAACAAAAAACGAAATTAAATAACATGTATATTTATAAAACAATTAATGCGCGAAACAACACATTCTACTAGCCGATGGTCCGTTAAATTATTGCAATTATATTTTGTGTTGCTCGTTACTTTTCGTTTCTAACTGTAACCCCCAACCCCCCATTTACGATTACGATAAACAAAAATTTATTAACAGCTTTCCAACCATTTTACACATTTATATATACGCAGGCAAGTGTGCGCGGCGTTTGTTGCAGTCGTTGCTGTTAATGTATATGTTATGTTATGGCTGGCGTGCGAGTCGTGCGTGGGCGAGGGAGAGTCGGTCAGTTGGCGAGCGAGAGAGGTAAAGCGAGAGCGAAAGTGCGAGCGCGGAGCAATGCAGCGTGTGTTTATTTCTTTTTATATACATTATAAACTGAGCAGCATACACAAAACGAGAGCGGAGAGCGGGAAACGTCGCGTCGCTGCTGCCGGGTGCTGCTCATGCTGCTGCTGCTACTGTTGCTGTTGTCTGCAAAACTTCGCTGCGCTGCTGATGCCGCTGTTGCTGTTACTTCGATCTTCCCTACACACCCACACCCACACATATACACCCACACGCACGCGCACACCCATATACTCACAATGTTGCCGTTGCGTCTGCGTCTGCCGAATTGGTGCTGTTGCTGCTGTTATGCTGCTGCAGATGCCGGCGTCCTTGTCTGCCGACGGCCCTCAACTGTTTCGCTGTTTAGTTTGCCGTTGGCGTTTTGCTGCTTCACTTCTTGTTCGCACTTGTTGCTGTTGCCGGCGTTGTTGGCGTTGTTTCCTGCTGTTTCCAGCTCTGTCTAGCGATTGGGGCCTACTTTTGACTTTAGCGAAATTTGTAGCGGACTCGGACAACTAATGACGTCCCCACCCCGTCAACCACTGAACACCCATTTGAGCATAGATTTGAGTGATCCACTTGGAATCCAACTGGTAAGTAGAGCATTAACATATGAAGCTAATATTTTGGATTATATTACAGCGAAATTCAAATTAACTCATAGATGACAATAATTAAGCAAATTTAAATTATATTACAAATAAAAATCGAATTAACAGTACAAAACACTTTTGTGTATTATTGAAGTCAGAAAATTTAAATTCATTTGTTATAATTATGAAAATACAAGTCAGCTAGAAATGCATATTTAAAGCATCCTATGTAGACATTTTTCTCTACACAAGGATATATGCGTGGGTTTATTGACAAAACGTTTCCAGCACAACCAAACGAATACCAGTTGGATCTAAGTAAGCGAGGACACATACCTCATGCTATCTTTGTAGAGTTTCCGACAGTTGGAAAGGGTGTCAGTGGAGAAAACAGCTGTGTTTATTGACAACACGTTTTCAGCACAGCAACGAATTCAATTCCCAAACAAATTTCCATTCAATATACATATTTTTGAAAAACAAACAAAAATTCGCTCTAGCCCAAAAAGAAAAGGATTTTCTCTCTGCTAAACGCAACAAATCGGCTTACAAAAAATCTATCACAATGTTTATGGATAAGATGGTGAAGAACGACTCTTTCGAGCCGGATCTGCGAAAGGAGGGCACCTACATTTGCCCTTTTCCCCGCCCACCGCCGCCTCCTAATGCCTTCGACAAGTGGCACAGCCACCTCTCGCCGCACGAGCGTCTCTACTATCATCGGACTATGAGCTCGGTGCGCTATAGCAAACGCTTTCGCGCCAATCCGAATATTCCAAAGGATTCACTGGACTTTCAGCTCCAAGCTCGTTACGATCACGGCCGTGAAACGTTCCCGGAGAATATTGACGTAGTGCTGCAACGTGATACGTGTCCAGCATTGACCAGCTGGGCAGCTCCGCATGGACAGAAGGAGGTGGGCTCCATTTCACGAGTGAACGTATTTCGTGTGTTACGCAACACGCGCATTGTGGCACACAAAATGGAGGATACTCTGGGCCATCCATTGGTCTTAGGTAAGGCAGTTTCAGTTCAGTATGAGTGCGATTGAGTGGGTCACACAAAATGAGCTGCTGACCCGCAAGCGACTCTCATTATGGAGTCGTGAAATATATCGGCTACTGATTCAGTAATTGAATAGCTCACGAATGTGATGACACTGCTGAGTCAAGGAATTTTGGCAATGTGTTCGATAAAATGAACTGGAGCACCAAAGCCAGAATGCGCTTGGAAAGTGAGCGATAGGCCTTAGTCAAATTTAAGGATAGTTCAGAAGATGAACAATTCTAGAATTGTCAGCGCTAGTTTTTATTTTTTTCAGTTTTATCATTTTAACATTAAAAATGTTTTTCTTCCGCGTTCTCTTCGCAGGTGGCATTAAGGAAAAGATACATCCATCGTCAGTCAAGCTCATATGCAGTGGCGTCCATACACAGCTGGTTAATAATGGATTCTCGCGACAAACCTCCGATGGCAATTTCTTCCGTTATTAGAGAAAGAGAGTGACAGAGACAGAGAAGAGAAAGGCGCTCAAAAGTTTGCTAGTTTTCAACTTCTGCGTTTAAACTATTGGCAAAGGAAAATACAATAAAAATTGACAGAGCAAAGAATCATTAAAGCGGTTCACGTAGTCGGCGACAATTTCAACTGCTTTGCTGGCTGTTGTTCCTCATCTTCTTGACACTGGTCTTGCACCTCCTGCTCCTGGTCCTGCTCCCGCTCGACCCTCGTCTCATCCTCCTCCTTCTTCGTCGTCTGCTGCGCCGCTTTGTGACGTTGCTTTTTGTTTTGATTGCGATAGCTCTTGGGCAGTTTATTATCGCCAATCCTATAAAATATTACGACTTGTTTAATACAAATACTTAAGGGAAATGGTGTAGGCTCTATCTTACATGATCGTGGCTCTTGTGCCGGGGCCCCAGTGCGGTGCCGGATTCTCCTGGAAACGCGAGAGCGCCTGTTTGCGACTGCTTGGATTGGCCAGAGGATGCAGTTCGTCGAATTCGTAGTCTCGCTGGCAAGGCTGCGAAAGTATGGCTTGCAGGGCAGTGCCCGGTATCAGGCGATCCTCGCGCACCGGATGCCGTTTGCTCCAGCAGCGCAAGAGATCCCACAGCACCGAGGCAGGAGCATCAGTTTTCAAGGAGTTCTTGTTGGCATGGGAATAAGAAACACGATAGCCAGCATGCAGCAGAGCCGAACGCATCTTCAGCATGGGCACAATCTCCAGTTTGAGCACGCAGCAGAGCTTGTCGGGCGTGTAGTAGAGCGGCACATCGGGCAGCTCCTCCCTGACCATGGACAGGACGCCCACAATGCGACGGTGTGTGCCTAACTCAGAGAGCGGCGTCGCTTGCACCGACTGCAGCAGATCCTCAACAAATTCCATATTGTGTATGGGCGCCGACCAGATCGGTCCGCCCAGATGATGCCGATGGTTGCAGTGCTCGCATTGACTGTTCACGGCGGGTCCAGTGGGAATGCCAAATTTCACCACCTGCGGTTGCTCTGCGGATTTGCTGCGCACGGTGCCTAGCGGCTGGAGGGTGAAGGCCTCACATCCAGTACATTGGAACAACCAGGATTGCTTGCTCATGCTATACTTACACAGAGCCTGGCTGGAGTAGACGCGCACAAAGATGCGGACATAGAAGTCGGCAGAGATGCTGAGCAGCGGTTCAATATATTTGCCATGACGATTTGCGTGCGTTTCGATGCAGTGCAGCAAAATGCGTAAAGCCATCTCGTGGCAGCATTTCATCCGCAACGGCACAGAGCCGTATTTCACATAGCAGGATTCGGGTGCGTTGCCCGCCAGAACAGCCATGTCAGTGGCGGTGACCAGGAGCAGACCGCCATCGACTATGCACTGTAGAGCGCCGTCGAGAAAGCGATTCGGACAGCCATACGGATCTAGATCGACGGCATCGAAGCGCTGCTGAGGGGCCGTTGACAAGTACATGAGAGTCCTGCAAGGTGTTATATTTAGAAATCATACGGCAAAGTGTATTGGGCATCTTACATGGCATCCGCATGGCTGGTCTCTATGAGATGCTCCACACCGTTGTGTTGTACATTTGTCTTAATCGACTCTACCGCCTGTTTGGACAAATCATTGGCCACGATTTGACGCACTCCGGCGATCTCCTGCGCATAGCGGATGCTCCGTAGTCCCGTTGCTGCCAAAGCCTCCAATATGCGCATGCCATCCTCATACTTTGTTCCCGCAGTGTAGCTGGGCGTTACAGTGGTTTCCTGCTGCCCATTGTCGTCTACCTGTTGCTTCTGCTTACGTAGCTGCTGTTTTTTCGCCTTCTCAGCGCGCTCTTTCACCAAACGCTGAAAGTAAACGTTGAGCACTGCAATGCTCAGATCACGATTGAACTCCTGCACTGGATTGTAGAAGACATTGCCGCCGGATATGATGTTTGCATTGCGTTCTGTAATTATGTTTGCATTGGGATTGGTAGGCGACGGTTCCTGTTGCACTTCTTCTACTTCCATTTCACGCGTTGTCAACACGTTTTTACAATAGCGATGAACAACGGGCGATAGCTTGTGGCGGCTAATCGATAACGAAAATGAAGCATGCAAACAGAAAACATATGTGCTGTATGGTTAGTTGGCAATGCAAGTCGCACAGCTGTTGGAGGCTTGGCTATTTTCCCCGACAGATTTGGGAATAGCTCTTGGCAATTAATTGGCTATTTATTCATGATATAATTCTTTAAATAAAAGCCTTTATTCTAAAATATGATATATTAATACATGACTTCAAAAAAAAAAAAAAAAAAAACAAATGCTTGTAAGCTCGACGCTATTCATAGTCGGTTAGCTTTATTATTTAGCCATTTTTAGCTATCGCTCATCGTGAACTCTGATTGTACAACTAGTTGGCAACACTGGCTTGTATCTGTCGTAATAGGCGGCCTGCATTTAGTTTTATTCTGCATAAAAAACATGAATAAAATAACCTGCGCCTTTATCAGCGTACTGCAGCACAGCAATAAATCATATGGAAGCGCTACGCTGCTCGGTCGCCAGTTGTCCTACAAAAGTGATTTGTCTCTAGATAAAATCTATCCAAATGCCCGTCTGAAGCTCTACACGCCGCCGCCTCCTGTAAAGATTTGTATTTGCTCTCGAAATCCATGAAAAGGTTGCTAATCTATGCATATTCTCAGCCTGGCAGTGGTGACAAATTCAATGGCTATATACCCATGGACAAGCTAGAGATCAGCTATAGTCGCAGCTCGGGGCCAGGTGGCCAGCACGTCAACACCTCCAATACCAAAGTCGATGTGCGGTTTAAGCTATCGGAGGCGCACTGGATACCGGAGAAGACACGCGAGAAGCTGTTGAAGGCGCTGGCGAACAAGCTCAACAAGGAAGGCTACTATTTCATCAAAAGCGATTTGACTCGTTCCCAGCAAATGAATCTGGCCGATGCGCTGGAGAAGCTGCGCACGTTAATACGCGCCCAGGAGCTAGATGAGCCAACGGCGCCCAGTGAGGAGACTGTGGAGAAGCTGCGTCGCCGCCAGGAGAAGGCGGCCAGGGAGCGTCTGCAGCAGAAACGCTCTCGTAGCCAGACCAAACAAGATCGTCAGGCATAGATCGATTTTTAGTTTCTAGTTGGCCAAACAACAATTTTTGTTAAACATTAAATATTTAAATGTATAATTTATACTAGTGATTTAGTAGCTCCTCTGCGGCGGGGGTGACTGTGAAGCGTGGAACAGCTGGCACATTGATGCGAGTGCTGGAATCAATTATCTCCGGCTGTGAGACTCTATGTGAAGGCATGCTAGAGATGCGAGCACGCTGTAAATAGAAGAGCAGATAGTTTCATGAATAGGAATCGAAGCTTATTAGAGAAGGCGTCGTCTACATTCACTGGCATTTCTTCAGGTGTCGGCAGGCGCAGCGTGTGACGCCTCTCTATGGCTGATTGATTTGTAGGTGGCCTCCTCTCTGGCGGCTTAGTCAAGGATTGTGTGTAGAGCTGTTCCAGACGATTGATGGTCGCCACGCCCGGCTGTATGGAGAAGCTGTGTCGTATGCTACGCGGCGACCAGGTGTGCTGGTATGCAGCCTCATCCAGATGACGCAGAATGTCGCCATGGGTGTCCTCTTTAGCGAGATCCGCCAGCAGCTCGTCGATAATAGCAGCGTCACCTCTCGGCACCTTGATGTCGTGCATCCAGAACTGACGATTGCTGCGTCCAATCACTGGAGCAATCTGTTTCACCTTTAGCACTAGAATGCCCATCAGGTAGATGCATAGGATATTGGATAAAGTTAAGCACATGCTAATGCTGCCCAGGACAGCCAGTTCTGTTGCCTGATTCTCGGAGTAGGTGCGCGACTTGACCACATCTACGTAGAGCGTATCGTCCTTTTCATACAGCTTGTAAATGCAGGCCAAGGCCCACAGGAGACCCGAATTGACAGCTGGCGGCAGCAGCGAGGCGGAGATAGCCACGCCCACCAGCGAACCAATATTGCCGCCCAGTATGCCAATGGCAGCTGCTGCTCCCGACGGTATGGCCGTGAAGAGGCCCACGATCAGTGAGTGCAGATCACAGCGGGAGAGCATCTCCTCGGTCAGTCCCTCGCCAATGCCATACTTCTTGTCCGTGGTGCAGACCACGAGGCCAAAGAGAAAGCCCACCAAGGTGGCCAGCAGTATGCCGATTAGCTCGTTGCGCATGCCCAGTCGCCATAAAGAGCGCTCCTCGATCACCGTGCCGAAAATGGCGGCAATAATGGGTCCCATCAATGGGGAGATCAGCATGCTGGAGGCCAGAAATATGGTGCTGTTCTCAATTAGTCCGAAAGATGCCAAGATGCTGCAGTATAGGAGGGAGGGAGAGCAAGAGGAGAGATTAGAGATAATTATTGAGATGACTTGGTGAGGAAATCCAAAGAAAATTTTTAAATCTTGAGAGGATTGGGCACCTGATTGCTATTTATAGGACAGTTATTAATCACCGCATTATCGCGTGGATCGTCTGGGAGCCAACTAAATTTCAAATACTATAGAAGAGTTGTGAATCAGTAAGAAGTCTATAGTAAATATGGCTGGCCCACTAATTTGTTAAGGCTTAGAGCTCTATAGCTAAAAAGCAAAACTTTGATGACATCATATAAGAAATTGAAGAGAAGCAGGTAGAAGTGAAATTCTTGGGAGAATTAGGTAAGCGAATTGGGGTTTGTATAAGAAGCTGCAAAGTGAAGTCAATCGATTTTAATCTTAGAGCATATGCTCTTTAAAATAAGTAACTTCTGGGTGCAGGATGCACTTAATCTGTCACTACAAATGGGATCTACGGCATCCACTTTCCCTTCTCTGTTCCACTTACGCTGCTGAGATAAGGAGTATGCAAAAGTCAAATGTGATGGCCGCGTCCAGGCGGACATCTCTAACAACTTGGGCGACGTTCAGTCTGGAGCGCACAGAGTTCATGAAACGATTCCAGGTGCCCTGTTTGTGGGCGTTTTGCATGTTGTTGCCACTGCAGAAAAAAGCAAAGAAAGAGTTGCGCATTAGCGGGTCTCTACTGTATCTGCTGGCTCTACTGTACTCACTCGCTGTGCGCCGCCGGCTGCTTGTCGGATTTTTTGGGATTATTTTGATAGGTTTTCGAGGCGATGCAATTCATGACGGACACGGCGGAGCCCTCACGTTCGCCGATGCCCCAGTGCTGCAGTGCGTCGTAGAGATTCTCGTAGACTTCGTTGAATTCCAGGGTGAAGGTGATCTGGTAGCTGGCACCATCTTCGCTACGCAGCCAGAACGCATTTGTTATTTCAAATTTACGCAATAGCTGCTGCAGCACGTGCTCCATGGCTGAATCCAAAGGTAAGTCAAGCAGCTCGGCATGCTCCGACACATCTGTCAGCTGCGTTGGCAAGCGACGTCTGCAATCGAACGTCAGCCCACCCCCGCCAGCTGCATTGGCCCCGGCACCGCCCACACGTGCAGCAGGTGACTCAAACAGACGCAGGCTCTGCTCGTCAAAGGCCGACAATGACATGCTCATTAGCGTACTGGTTCCCGTATCGATTCCAGTCTCCATGCCCGTACTGTTCCGTATGAGACCAATGGACCCGTTCTCATCTGTCGCCTGAAGGTTCATCTGCCGTCTGTAGGCATCCTTCAGGCGCTGCTCCTCGCTGGCCGTGGGAATTGTTATTGTGAAAAATACAGCTGCCACATCCAACATTTTGTTCAAATAGATTTTACACTTAGTTCACAAACAGATATACATTTATATACAAATACATATATACACAGACATATATTTATGTGTATGTGAATCACATCAGATATTACGCACACTCTTTTAACATAGAGATTAATCTAGATGTTTTTTTTTGCGCACAAAATCAACAAACGCTCGACGACTGCAACGATCTTCTTTGCACTGGAAATGCAGTCGGTACGTTTGGCGCCTTGTTGTTCATCCGTCTGATAACGGTTTCTGCTCACAAGCTCTGCTAACAGCTGCGCTGTTAAAGGCCCCATACACGACATTTTAAGCCGTCAGCTTTGCTGTTAGTTCCAGACAGTGATCATGCGAAAGGAAAAGAGAACTGAAAATGAACAAAAGCAGTGACAGAGCACTGAAATGTTCACTGTTAAAGTCGCATGCAAAGCCTAAACACTAAACGACTGGAAGTCTTGTAGTTGTTGCTGCTCTGCACTCTTTCTGTTAACGACCTCTCACGCGGCAATGATCTCAGCTGAGAGGCCGCTTGCAAGCCATTGCCACTGAATGAAGAAAATAAGCGGAACGGTAAATGAGATGGGAATAGAACGCGGAAGTACAAAACGGCAGGTGACGCGTTGTTTCAGATTCCTTAGATAGAGTCGGCCACATATGCAATGTATGTATGTATATAAGTTTTTCTATTGATATTATAACATTGCCACTAACCAGAGAAATATGGATAGTGCATTGCTCTGTTAAGCCGACTGTTAACGCAGCAGAAGGAACAGTTACTCTTCAAAATGACTTTCGCAGTCAACGTTACCATTGAACAACTGTAAATGTAATTTCAATTTGAATTTCAAATGTTAACGGCCTAATTTGGCACTTTTATTGTTGAATATACTACTTATACGGCAATTTTATTGATTTAGAATACTTTATTATGTATTTTGATTTATTTACAAAAGAAATCGCTTGTTAAACCAAATATGCACATATTTACATATACTTAAAATATATATAAACCCATTATTTATATATCTATTATACATCATACAAGCTACTCCTCGAGACTGACATTCATGAGCTCCTTGGTGACTTCCTCTCTGCTCTTTGTGGGCCTATTGCTATTGCCCAAAGAGTTGGTGTCCTGCTCGAGTGCAGGCGGTGGCAATTTGAATCCACTTGGAACCTTTTTCAAACGTCCATTTGCTGGAGCCTCTACAGTAGTGGAAGTTGAGCTTAGCGTTGCTTCGGTGGCCATTTTGTAGAGCTGTTGCAGCTGCTGCATTGCATCCACTGGCAGAGGTGCGCGTGTGGGCAGCGTCTGCTTCTGATTGGCTTTCGCCTTCGATTTTGGCTGCAGCTTCTCCTGCGGCTGAGGCTTCATGCCATTCGACCAACTCTCTAGCCAGCTGGCTGCATTACGCTCCGTGCTGGTCATCAGCTGCTGCTGTCGCAGGTGCTCGCGCTCATCGCTGGGGCTCACCTGACGCTTGCTAAACGACTGATCACTCTTGTTGGGATCACCCAAGGGACGCGTGTTCTTCTGTGGCCCCAGCTCGAGCAGCACCTGGAAATCCGCGTGCTGGCCGAGACGAAAGCCAAAGCCAAGACGCGAATCGGTGCCTGTACAAAGAGCGAGAGAGAGATAGAGAGAGCTCAATCAGAAATATATTATTAATCACCTCACTCACCTTTTTTAATGGGCGGTATATTGGAATAGACTAGTGAGAGCGCCGACTGCAGCTCTTGTGGCACGATGAAGCCATTCACATTTTCAGCTGCAATAATAATTAATAAAACTAGTTTATATGCAGGTCTATAAATATTTATAATATATGGAGAAATATTCATTTCTCTTTATATTTGCTCAGACAATTAACTAATTTGATCAAGTTAAATAATGTTTTATATATGAATACATTATTATGCAAATTTGTATACATTGCATGCGTCTGTATGTGTGTGTGTATATGTATGTATTGTATATGGGTTATGATATAGCTAATCTGAATATAACTAATTTAAGCTTCATTCAAATCTGTTGAGTTCCAATTTGACGATATATGTATTCCTATACAATGTATATTAAATATCTTTCGTTAATTGTATTTCAAATTAATCGACGCTTAGCGTTAAGTTTAATCTCTAACGGGCAGCTTTCAATCTGCTTTGAAGTTTGCTTTTTTTTTTTTTGTATTATGCAATATAACGTTTTTATGGGCTGAGTTTTTGTTTTTTAGGGCTGGTACGCTGGTTTGTCTGCGAGGCTATGGTATGCGTCTAAGCAGTTATACAACAATTAAAATTGGCAGCTCGCTGGCTATTAAAGCTCTATTGAGTTTATGCTAACGAAGGTCACAAACTCTATGAGCGAAGCATCTGAAAATAGGTATATGTATTTTTTTTTTATTATTTATTTTGCCTAGCTTTGAAATACAACTATCCAAAGTACTAAAAACTTGATGGTAAATAACCAAAAAGTTTGATATGGTATATTTTTTATTTTCTTATAAATAAGCTTTGCCTTTTTAGGCCTTCAGACCGTTAAGATATACATATCTATCTGTAGGCATTCTACGCTATATTTTTGCTATCTATGCTTATATATCCATAATAACTTTTTTAGCAACTCAAGTCCTCTTTAATCTAAAATTCAAGTTCCTTAATCGCTTTTAAAGTTTCATCCAATTTATAAAGTTAGTGCTGCTGCTGTCAGGGTCAATGATTGCTCGTTTAATTCTTCTAGCGAACTGACCTCTCTTAATTCTGATAGCTTTGCACCCAGCAGCTCGCACATAATTAATGCACGTACTTTGATCTATTCTCAAGTATCAGATGCTCTAATGGCCCGCAGCGACTATAAAGCAGGGAAATAATGAATTCAACTTAATAGATTCAAGTAGTTTGTCGAGCGACTGAAAGCGAAATGAACACAAGAGACGCGCGACCTTGACACAAAGACCGGCAATAGCTTCAACTTCAGCTGCGACTTCAGCTTTAGACTAAACAACTTTGCTTTGGTGGCCCGGTCTTTGGCTCGCACTACTCGGCTCTGCTGTGGCCTGGCCTGGTCCGGCCTGGTCTGGCTAGGTCGTCGCATTGGATCGAATCGAAGCGGGCCAGAGCAAAGTCTAGAGTTTCGACTGCGTTTGGCTACGTTTGGGCAGTCAAACCGGTTGCTGCGGCGGCTGAAATTCAATTTTGCTATTGCTTTATTTTGGGTG